TACATGTAAGTGTGGAAGGTTCACCAGTATTTCATAATCAGGTACACGTTATATCGAGACAGGAATGGTATAAGCAAATTTGTCTCATGTAGTTACTGTAAAAGACTATTAATCACAAGTACTAGGGCTGTATTACATTAATAAACCATGGTGTCCTGTATACTACACACAAAACTTACTCAGTACTTATTAACATGCCCCTCGACTGTTGATGATACGGTCTATACGGTGATGCCATGAAGCCAGTGACGTGTCGGGTGCGAGTTGTCTGCAGTTGGTCCCTTTCTTCCTACAAAATACTACGACCTGACCTGTACTTTAAATATGTCGACACTTAGTCCTTTTAATCAACTTCTAATCAACTTCTCTTTCTTTACTTCACTTCTCTCGCCAGACGTGTCCGTCATCCATGGTCATTTTCCTGGTTTTCTTGCTAAGCTTTAACTGCAATGCACCCTATGACACAACATTAGTAATTCGCCATTGCGTTGCTCTATCTCAAATTACATGACAACACCAAATTTTACTTAATGCAATCCTATAACATAGACTTGTGAGAAGACGCGAGAGAAGTTTCAATGGCAGATTTTAACCCCACCTCTCGTGAAATCTCGCTCCAATCCAGGTCTCGTTTGACGTCATCTGCTGCGCAGATGTTCAAAATAGGCTATCCCGGACAACTCCTATTCCCTGATGGCCTCCTTGCCTCCACATGCACTGTCCCTGCAGGGGCCTAGCAATTAAACCTCAGAGATTTAATCCATTTAATGACATGTGAGGAGTTTGGGAGACCATCAGGGAATAAGCTGCATTGCTATTAAGTAGGTCAGCCATATTTAGTCCGTGGGTCTGTTAGTCTGCAGATCTACTTGTTCTGAATGTGCTCATATATTGTAATTTAGGTCAGGGTGGTCCCCCTTGTCTGCCTAGTGTCTGTTTAGCATCCAATGAACATCCTACATGCAGTTATGCAGGTAATAATAATATAGATATACTCTTTAAATTCATGCTTTTCATATATATAAATCTATATATATTTATCGGTAACCATCCATTTCTAGCTGATTTATTATTATTATTATTATTTTTAATTTATCTTGTAGGATACAAGAAGCAATTTTTTTCAATAATGATTTAATGGACTTTTCTTAGTAAGGGAAGAAATAACTTTTCCGTATATCAAATTGTTTAAATCTGATTCTAGTTTAATATGTAATTTATGTTAACATATTATTTGTATTTCATTTTAATTTAATGTGGTTGTAGTATGAACGTGATTAATAAGTTAATGTATTTGTACTTATCTAGAGGAAAGTAATTCAGAATACAGCTGTATGAGTACTGGCAATGAAGAGGTCCCAGCTGCAAGCACTAGTCATGAAACGGCATTAACAATAGGTGTTTATTGCATATATTTTCCAATTCATCTGCTTTAAAGTTACAGCTAAAAATTGTGAATTGTCATATTGAGAGATGAATTTAAAAAAATGCAATCTGTAATACATATATTATATTTGTTGACATCATGTACAAAAAACATGTAAATGCATGCAACTCCTTTGAAATAAATTTATAAGTCTGTGGATTATTTTTCAAGCTGTACATGAGGCAAGGCATGATAAATTCATAAGAGCCCACTTAATAGTGTAATAATTAGTTATATATTTAATTATTAATTCTGTATTTTGTCAAATTCCAGGTGCCAGCAAAAGAATTTATGAGGTAGAAAAAGAGAGGTTGCTAGTGGAAAAAGAGAGGCTGGCAGTGGAGAGAGAACGTCTTAAGTTGGAGAGGGAAAGATTAGAAATTGACAAAAAGAAGGATATTTTATTTGAAAAAATGAAGGAATATTATGAGGCAAAGTTGGAGATGAAGAAGAAGTTTTTTCAAGAACTTTAGGACTCCTGCCCATAGTACCCATATTACATGTACATGTACAGTGTTTACATTGTAGTATTAGTACCCATGGTATGTTACAAAAATGTAATAAATATAATATCCTTAGTTACAAATAACTTTATATTTCCTTTCTTATTTGAAAAGCTTGAAGTACATTAGCATTAGAAATTAAAAAGGGTGTTATCTGAGGCCATTCATCTTATAAAACATTCTTTAGTAGGATTGACCAATGGTAAATATTTCATTCTTATATCTAATAAGCTGTATAAGTCAAAAAGTGATATTTGTCTTCAACATCATAAATATTTTACATTGTTTCAAGGCCAATTTAGTGACACCATTGAATACTTCAACACCAGTAGCCTTAAGAAGTTTATACTTGCCTCTTAAACTTAATAGTAAACAGTACTTAATTTGCGTGGTTGATTTAATGTTGAGTAGTGTAACCTCCTACAAGGAAGGCCCTGAAATGTCTTCCTAAATGTTCATATACAGGTACAGCTTTTAATATTTAGACAAAGTTGGATTAAGTAATAAGTAAGTCTCCAGTAGAAACTTTAAAGCGAGTGTATCCAATTTTGCATCATTCATTTTTATCAGCAAACCTACTGAGGTGATCCATAGCTAGCTAGGTTATGCACATTATTTTTATTGGACTATTTTTCTTTAAGTTATGTAGTTTTTGTGAATTGTTCATTTTTCACACATTGAGCGCATTCTCAACGAATTAAGCCAGGCTTTACAAAGCCGGTGACCTAAAAATGGCGGACGTACATGAAAGAAAAACCGCCTAATCTTTTAATAGTCTCTCCGTCTCTCACACGCCTCCCCACACGTCGTCCCTGCGGGGTACAGTAATTAAATCTCGGCTCCGAACATTAATATTTCCGTGAATATCTCTGGTGATATTATCTCCGTAGATAGTCGATTCATTGCTGCTCTACGGGCCAAATTATTCCTTTTTCGTCTCTGTTTTCAAAGATAATAGAACAGAAGAGCTTTTTTCCTTCGATCGCCTTCAGCCGCCATGCTTTCTTCACCACGAGTTTAACTGATGAGCATGCGCACTTAATATTTCTCAGGTAGCTTCCGCATGGCGAACGGAGCCGAGATTTAATTACTGTACCCCGCAGGGACGAC